TTTTCACCCAAGATACATTTATATTGATGTCAGGCAAGCTGGAGGCAGTAGTAAAGATCCTGAAGCTGTGCCGGCACCTAGTGATCTCACCAAGCTGCAAACAGCATTAAAGGTATTTTTCTGTTATGCAATAGTTGTTGAAATGGCATATTCCTCATGAATTTATTGTTGTGTGCAAAGTATCCCGTATCAAGAAATTCATCATTTCACCCAAAGTTAGTGAGATATTCCCAACTTATTGACTGGGACTCAAGGTTGAGATCCATACTCGAGCTCTTATATGTCATTGAATTTATAAAATTTAAATTTTATAAAATGGTTTCAAAGGAACAGAACTTGTCTCTTAGGGGGTAAGGCTCCACGTTGAGAAATTGCCAATATTTCACACTACTTTGCAATTTTGCATGTGATAGAAATGGCAAGGGCAGTTAAACTTCAAGAAACGCGGAGGGTTGAGTGAAGTTGATTCTTCAAGACACGGAGGGGGTTCAGAGTTGAGAAGGCACGCATCGTTTAGAGCTCGGGGACCCACAGCTCAGATGTCGATGTTCTGTAATTCAGCAGCGCCCCATACCAGCACGAGCCTGGATTTTAGTAGGGACACAAGTGTCCATTCACACTGGCACAGGCTTGCCTCAAAATATAACCGAATAACCGATGCCATGTCTGTTCACTTGGGGAGATCCAATCCCTCTCAGAAGGATGATCAACCTCCTAGGAAGGATTCTACGATGGTAATTGTCTATTTTTTACTTGTTGCGAAAAGATTGCTGTGGAAAAATCTGGCCTAGTCGCTAGGTTGTCCTTGCGAAAAAAAGATGTGGGTCCCACCATTTCCACTTCTCTCCTCCCCATTTTGCAAGATCAGATCCCATGTCCCAAAAATGTTACCTCACCTCATGTACCACTCTCCAGATGCTCCAACCTAGCACAACTATGAAATGGGTCCACATTCTTGTGCTAGGTGGCATCATCTGGAGGGTGGGATAACATTTTTGGGACAGGGGATCGATCTCCTACCCTATTTCTCCTCACCAAGAAAACCCATTCGTCTCAAATTTCTTTCCCAGACATTTCTCTTCCTATTTCGCATTCACCAAAATTGTCTTAAAGCCTAAAAGTGTTTTTTTTCACCATTGAAAGTGTTCTTTCTTCATTCACTGCAGGACTATGCCCCAAAGAACGGCAACATACACTACTCTGGGCCATTAATCCCAGCAGGGGGAAACATAGAAGAAATGCTCAAGGAGCATGAGAAGCAGATCCAAAAGGCTGTACGAAAAGCCCGTCTTGACAAAACCAATAAGGGCCAGACAGTTTACGGCACAGAATCTCTCTTGCAGTATGTGGGCAATGGGCGGTAACTTTTTTCCCGGGAAAAAAATTTACGGAAGAGAACTAAGTTTTAGCAGTTACACCATATAACAATGACTTTGAGACCGTTTCTTTTTTGCTCATATATGTTGTTGCAGAAACATGTTGTCCAGTTTTTCATGATCAATCCTTCTCTGCATGTAAAAAAGGAAAAAAAAGATTTTAAAGAAAAAAAGGGTTGTCATTCTTGCAATTGTATAGGAATCTCCTAATATTTGTTTTTATACTTGTAGAAGAGCCAGCCACAGCCAGATTTAGACAGTAATATTGCATCTCAGGATCTTTGTTTCCTGGACAAATGTTAATTTCTTATTGGAATCTGGTTTACATGGAAGATTTTGTACCTTTTCAAATGTGTGTATAATACATGAGTTTTTAGTCCTCATGGAGAGTTTTTATGATTTTCTTTGTTCCAAAAATAAACTTTTCATTTACTTTTTGTTTCCCGATTTAAAGAAATAGTATAAACCGTGTTTTGGGACAAATGAAAAATGAAAATGGTAGAAATTTGTTCAGGTTTTCGAACTGTAACCCCAATTGGTAAATTTATCTCCCTGGGAGTTTGTTGGTAATTTTCACCTTGAGACCGATAGAGTATGGGCGTAACATGGGGAAGAACTGAAGAAGTTGCTGGGGTAATCTAGTAATGCCATTTACCCTTGGGTGGTTTGTTTTTGTCACTTTTTATTCAAAGTTTCCTCGATGAAAAAAAATCAAAGTTTTTATCTTAAGTCAAATTTTGTTTTATGTAATTTTTTTTAACAAAATATAACATACGCCTAAATGATTACAGAAACATTACGGAGTACTTCATGTACCTGGAGTACTTTGGCTTTTCTTGAACAAATTTTATAAATTATAACTAAAAATTACATAAAAACTATTCCAGAGTTGTGATGAAACTTGGTATCTATAAATCTAGCTTAAAATTGATAATGATATTCCACATTATTTATTGATATTTTTGTAGAACTAAAATAGTGATATTTATTCCATATTCATATTTTAGATTTATCTGAATTTATTAGGTGTAATAATATTTCAATCCTATGTCGACATGAGATGTAATTGAAAATGGAAATATCACAAAAATATCAAAGATACATTTATCTTCGTTTCTCGTTACTTCAATAACATTATATTTATAAGATATTTTTTTCTGATAAAGGTATTCTCATTTTAGCTCAACATTATTTAATAAATTACAATTTTTTAAAGTTTTTTTTTTGAATCATTTATTCTTTTCTTTTAGAGAGGTATAAAGCATTTAGACAATGCTTTTTCATTTTATTTCTCTCTTAAATTTGTTTGATTGTGTATGGTAGAAGCATATAAAAAGAAACAAAAGGTTTTCATTCATTCATCATCTTAAATCTTAATTTTGCCTCAAAGTGTCCGAAGGTGTGAAGAGAACTGAAACAGGAAGAGCAGAGCAGGCAGATCGAAGAATCCATTCAGCCATGAGTAACGAATAGTGAGTAGAATGATCCTTCTTCTCTTTCTTCTAGATTTATCCAACTGATTTTCATTTGGCGTTTCTTAGTTCATCAGTTGATTTCCGTTTTTTTTTTGTTTTTGCAGTGATTACTTGTTCAAACTGTTGCTGATCGGCGACTCTTCCGTCGGGAAGTCTTGTCTTCTTCTCAGATTCGCTGTATGTTTATCTCCTTCTCCGCTCTTTACATGTATTGATGGTGTTTATGTCTGAACTAGTTGCAGGTTTTTGTGTGCTTATCAACATGGAGTAATATCATTTCCCTAGGGTTTTGAGTGTCTAACCTTGTGTTTTACTTAAGTGGCGATCTTCTTCTGAATGTATTTGTGTAATTTTGGATGTTGTTTAGTTGATGATTTGATGAAGCTAATTGTAGTCTTTATGGTGTTGGGTTGATTGTGCCAGGATGATTCGTATGTTGACAGTTACATTAGCACGATTGGAGTTGATTTTGTAAGACAGTGTCTCGTTCCAATCTATACCTGTGTCATTTTGAAAACAGAAATCTTATCATATCCATTGTTTTGCAGAAAATTAGGACTGTGGAGCTTGATGGGAAGACGGTCAAGCTCCAAATTGTGAGTATTCTCTCTTTTTTATCTGGATAGGCACATACTTAGTTGATAGTGGTGGCACAGGAATGATATAGAAAGTAACATCAGTTTGTTTCATTAGTGATTTAAAAAAAAATTGTTCTGAATATACAGTTACACCTTTCTAGATGAATTTCCGTGTTGTAATGCGGCTAATGCCTTTTGTTATTTGTTTTCCTAGTGGGATACTGCTGGCCAGGAGCGTTTTCGGACTATTACAAGCAGCTACTATCGTGGAGCACATGGGATTATCGTAAGATGTTATATTTTATGACATGCTAATTCATCTATTCACATTGATTATGTATCAACATAAGTTTTAACAAATGCCATGAGAGTTGTTTGGCTACATATGTTATGTATCAACATCTTATGAGTTTGTCACGTTTGAATAACCACATGTTTAATTCTTTGTGGAGACAATGATATGGTTTCCTCTTAAAGATATTAGGTTTGTTAGGCCTTTGGATTTAGATTATAGTTTAGTTATGCAAGTATTCTTTCTTTCATCCAAATGGCTCTTACACGTGTGTGTGTGTGATAGATTGTCTATGACGTAACTGAAATGGAGAGCTTCAACAATGTCAAGCAATGGCTGAATGAAATTGATAGATATGCAAATGAGAATGTATGCAAGCTCTTAGTAGGTAATAAATGTGATATGGTGGAGAACAAGGTTGTGAGCACAGAGACAGCAAAGGTGTTAATGACATGTTTACTAATGATCTAATATAATAAATAAATGTGTCCTAATCTTGGTAATTGGACAAAACAATATTGTTTGATGATACTTAATCATAATGCAGGCATTTGCCGAAGAGCTAGGCATTCCTTTCCTCGAGACTAGTGCAAAAGATTCCATCAATGTAGAGCAGGCTTTCTTAACCATGGCTGGCGAGATTAAGAAAAAGTAATAGCATCATTACCTCCTACCTCTCTGTTCCTATGATCTCTAGCTTTGTACTGAATTTTGCCAATTTTTTAATGATTCTTCCGTAGGATAAAGACTGGGCACTAACACTAGTACTATATTTTGCTAATGAAAATTTTCCACTTTTGGTCCCAGAACTATTAGGTCAATTACACTTTTAGTCACCAACTTCCATTTTTACTACTTTAGGTGCAAGGTTATGAATTTCGTGCCACCTTTGGTCCTACGACTACTTCTCTAACCAAATGCTAGATAAGTGACTATAATTGATCTGAAAGGGCCAAAAAGTGGCGAGAAATTCATAGTGGTGCACCATTCGTGAATATAATGGAAGTCAGGGGCTAAATATGCAGTGACCAATGGTGGTTGGACCAAAAATTGATAAAATCTCTTTTCCTTATCACAATAGACAGAATTGTAAAATACTTAGGGTCCATTTGGTACATGGAATTTACGGAATCGGAACTGAATTGGGAGAAATTCTATGGAATTGATTTGGATGGAATTGAATTCTCCAATTCCAAATCCACATATTTTTGTGCTACCAAGTACCAAACAGCATAATTGGAATTGTTGCCCCCAATTCTAATTCCATAGTTTGAATTCCGTGTACCAAATGGAGCCTTACATGTGATCTAGTAGCCTGCAAATAGCAAAAACAGGACAACAATGGTTGCCAATTGTGACATTATTAGTGGCTTAGAGCAATATTTTGTTCAATCTTTTATGAAACTGATTATGTTGTTTTAAAGGTGTTTGATAGAATATAGAAACGGGCCGATTTCCAAACCAACTTCCCATGACTATAAAGATTGATTATGATAATCGTTGTGGCTTTAGTTATTTTGTTTCAAAATCACATCAGGAACCTCAGCCAAACACATTCAGTTCTATTCTCTTTTACATATTCCGCACAAATTTCATTATTTTCTTTCGTGCAAAATCATTTCTATTTATATCAAACATCAATGCCCAGATTCATAGCGCAACAAGTGTTCATATTTTCTGATAATGCATTTTATTATTTCTATCATGCAAAATCATTTCTATTTATCTCAAACACACTTAATACCCAGATTCATAGTGCAATTCGTGTTCATATTCTCTGCTAACTTGTGTCGAATCGTTACTGCAGGATGGGTAGCCAGCATGTGGGAAACAAGAAACCCGCAAGCGTTCAAATCAAGGGACAGCCAATTGACCAGCCGAAAAGCAACTGCTGTGCTTAACAACTCCCCTCAGGTTCTTGCTTTATGTTTCTCGTTCATGTTAACAAACACTGAAAGCAGAACACTGGCTTTGTTTTGTGCACAAATAGTCTCAAAGCGCTATCTTCTTCCCCTGTAACCGTTCACAGACGATTGCTGCCTTGTGGGCATCGCTCCTAACATGTACTACTATTAGCCAAGTGATGATTGTGTAACATCTGTTTGTTTTTTTTTCATGTTTTGATAACTTTCTTTCTCCATAATTTGTCTAACCATATCTGGGGCAGTTCTCCAATGCTTTATTATTATATAATAAGTACTCCGTAGTATTATTATTGTTATAAAATTTTAAATTTTTTTTTACGACGTATTGAAATGTAAACGGTAGATGGTTGAAATTTATTTAGAAAGAAAAAATTTCCTTAAGAAAGAAAAATATTAAAGTAAAAGATTATTTTGAGACATCTGAAAATTAAATTGTAAGTTTGGTTATGATTGGGGGGTGGGGGGTGGGGGGCGATAGAAAAATAATTTTTATTGATGCACATAAAGTAATAGTTTTATTATTACTACTTCATATTCATTTACTCATCCATAAAAATATTACTCCGTATTTTTTTGAAAATCAAACATTTCATTAATTAAAGATATTGCAGTACATCATGCGGGGGGTCGTTCCACCATTCATGGCACCCGTTAATTGCCAATGTAGCAAGGGTGTGTGCAATCATATTTGACAGTCTAGGGATATGACAAAAATTAACAAAACGAAAACAATATGTAAGATTCTTGCATTCATCTTCCAACACACTCAGATATGACCGAGCACCTGACACGCCATTCTTCAAGGCATGAACCGCTTGAGCACAATTTGAGAAAATAGAGACTTCTTGGATATTTTTCTCCCTGAGCCATGAGAGCGCCTCCTTAATAGCCACTGTTTCCATGTATCATCGTC